CTCGAGGAAGCTTGACCATTTTAACACAACGTGGTGCGATCATCCCCCGTTGCGCGGAGTGAGGTTTCTCCACCCCGCACAACATGATCTACTCGACCACCATTATGGTTACCGCCAAAAAAAAAAACGAGGTAAAAAAAAAAAACGGTAACCTGGTTGCCGAGTTCACGAAGTGAATTGGCTTGTTTTACAACGTCGTTGCCAAGCGACGAAAACCCAATCCCGATGGCAAACACCGAGTGGGGGGCTTGTTTTACAACGTCGTTGCCAAGCGACGAAAACCCAAACCCCGATGGCAAACACCGGGGGGGGCGGCTTGTTTTACAACGTCGTTGCCAAGCGACGAAAACCCAACCCCGATGGCAAACATCGGGGGAAACACCGGGGGGGGCGGCTTGTTTTACAACGTCGTTGCCAAGCGACGAAAACCCAACCCCGATGGCAAGGGAGAGCCTGTCGTTGTATTTGTCGTTGGGGTGGCGAAGGGTCGTAGGCACGTCAGCTAAGAGGTACTACTATAGTAGAATGTACTTCTTCAGTAGTAAGCAACAAAGAGAAGGCAGGGGTCCAACATTGAATGGGGGAGGGGGGGGGGCACACATGACAGGGGCCTACAAAACGGCTCTGTCTTCTATCTACCCCCCTTCCATCTGCGCTCGCTGAAAGCCATGCTCTCGATACAGCAACAATTTCGGGAGCACTCTCGCTTGTCCTACGATCAGGGGGACTATTTTTCTCGGACGCTCATACCGGTCTGTGTGGGACAACGGACAGTGGTTGTCATTGTTCAACGGTTGTTCTAGCGGCTCTTACACTATTTACCACGTTTTTCTGCACGCCATTGCCATCATTGCTAGGTGCCTAAGGGTTCATTTCTAAGCCTGCCCGTGGTAGTCTGTCTATACGTCTATGCCGTGGACCCTATTTGTCTTGTGTCATGACTGTAATAACTAGAAGTCGATACGTTGTTGTGACGGTACAAGACCAGGGTCAGGTCAAGGCTGTGCGACACCAATTCCACGGTTTAAAGTCGTGAGTTTCTCACGTAGGGGCACACTTGACTAAAACAGACCGAGATTACTCTAATAACCTAGATACACATGTTCTAGATCTGAGCCGGGAATTGACGCTACGTTTCCCTTTTCAAGGTGCCGCATGTCCGTGCTGGGGCGGTAGGCTGGTTGGCTTAATTCTCCGCTGGACGGCTGGCTGCAGCAGCTATTCATCCATCACCAGATGCCGTCCGTCAGTGGCACAAACAACATTGTCACACCCCGATTTCAAAGAGAGAACGGAACGGTTTTGAATGTGAAGACAACAACAATATCTCCTCTCCACACAATATCTACGGCAGAAGATGATGAAGTACAGCAGTACTACATGCAGTGGGGGGGGCGAAAATGGCGGCGTTGGAGCCGTGTCGTGGAGAGCTTTCCTACAAGACTTATTTAATGTTTTGATGTTTGCGCGCTTGTCGCAAGGGAGCTTTGAAAATCGGTCCGGGGGGTCATGGTACAGCAGTATCTCGCGTCACATGCGGTACAATAGCCAGCAGCTGCATGCGTCGTGGTAAACGGGCTGCTGTGCCTACATGCCTACATACTATGATACATACGCACATTGTGTGTGTGCTTGGTCTGAATACAGCGTGTGTGCATTAGCTAAATAGTGTTCATGCCTTTCAATATTTTTCTCAGCGGCTATAGAGGAGACTAATTTTCAGCTGGGGGTGGAGAAGAGTGGGTGTTTCACTGCTCTGCTGCTGCTGCTGCTACTGCGGCTTGGCGGCAGAACTGGCTCCACAGGCGGTTGTGCCACGGAAGCTTGTGTTCCCTCAGGGCTGCTCTATCTGCATGAATCGGCACATGCGCCTTATGCGGAGATCATGATACACCCCCCTTCGCCCGTCCTCATATTGTTCCAGCACCCCGCGCGGACGGTTAAACGTGATTTTTGAACGTGCGAAGCGTGAAGCGTCACAGCGATGTTTTTTGTCCTTTTGGCGCCAGCGAAGGGCTCGGTTGTATGCTACAACAACAGAACAGTGAGAGAGTTAGTTGCTGCGAGTACCTAACGTGGCTATGTTCCCGAGAGATTGGCCAAATGCAACTGCTGTGCAAACCTAAGGGAAAGGAGGTCAAGGCGACCAGGCCACAATACGTGTGATCAAGAATCTCGCGGCTTCCGTGGATGTTCGGGAGGAGTCGAGAGCTCGTCTCTCATAATATGAATATCTCTACTGCTGCTTGTAGACGTGTGGTTCGTCAAATAAAAAAGTCATCCCGATGACAGACACCATAGTGTTGTGGATGTATGTTTGGATGATGGTGCAACAAGGGATGAGAGGAGACCCGAAGGGCCCATTGCTCGCCTCGCGCGCACGAATTTGCGTGTATGCGTGCGGACTGTCGCAAGGCAAGTGAAGGGCTTGCGATTCACGCGGCAGGAACCTTGGGATCACACTACAATACAATAAACACATGCGTAACGTTGGTGTGCAGCGGCCCGCACCAACTTACTCTTCTCAAATTGTATTATATTTCGTTGCACGACACGAGACACGAGACACACACCACACCAGCCTGACCCCTCACCTTCAAGTCTGACACGTATTCTGCCTCGGAGCTCAGGAGCTCGGCGACAGCCTCGTCTCTCCTCCGCTCCCGTCTCACGGCTGCCATCACCACGACACAACACCCTGGTCAGCAGCAGCAGCAGCAGCAGCAGCAGCAGCAGCAGCAGCAGCAGCAGCAGCAGCAGCAGCAGCAGCAGCACAGCGGTCCTTCCAGCCTGCTCCACACTCCACACTCCACACGCACACAGAGAGAAAAACCTTCGCTCTCTCCCTCCACAGAAGCAGCTAGCCAGCTCTGCCGTAGGATTTATGCTAGAGCAAACGACCAGCAGTTTGCGTGGAAGACGGGGGGGTTGCAACTCAGCTAGGCTTGCCCAGCCTGTCGGAGCGGCTGAGCGGCTGAGGAGAGTACTATTCGAATTCACTTTTGCCGATGGGCCCATGGACCACACCACAGATTTTTTTTTATTTTTTCTCGATTTTTTCAAGCGGTCGAGTATACCTTTTTTGGGTAAGTTAGCCTGTCTATGTTTGATTGTACGGACAGATGAAGGTACTGGAGAGAGAGATCGGAACGGTTTTGTGATGTGAAGACGTGAAGACAACAACTTTTGCGTGCTCCCAGGCCGACTAGAAAGTGTGCATCTACTGCTGTACTTCGGGGAAGGCTGCTGAGAGAGCTCGCGGGCGGACTTGTCCAGGCAAGATGGGCACCCCTCCCGTTATTTCACTTGTCTCCTACAGCAGTCCTGGTTGGGAGTAACATCCAAATACTACGCTGCGTTGTTGATGAGACGGTCCAGTAAATGTGCAATGATTTCTTAGGAGGGAGGAGAGAGACGGATGCCTTAGACTATAGCAGTACAGCTGCTTGTCCACGGCGGTTGTCCACGTTATCCACTGCCGTGCATGACGTGCGTTTACATAGTCCAGACAACGCGGATGCGTACAGACGGATGACAGCAATGAGTCAATCATAGGGATTTTGACTCATGAAGCAGACCTTCTCACATTGCGCAACTGCTGTAGTAGCTGTACATGGTGTATCGAAACAACAATATAACAGCATGTACTGGTTGCCGCGACGCCGATAGCCCCGTCAAAAACGTACGGTACGTAGACTAAAGTACCCTAGGTACACTGCTGTATGCGATGTACTTATGTACAGAGGTACGTTAGTATCGCAGAGAATAACAAGGTGGGCACCGCAGAGGAATAGGCAGAGACAAGAAAATACTTGACCATCACCAGGGGAAGGAAAATCTGTTCTTCCGCCTTTCTTCGGAGATCAACGTAATAACGTAGTTGATTTCACAGCAGGCAGCAGGCAGGTAATCCAGGGAGTACTCTAGCTACGCTTCGATCGCTGCTGGCACGATTCACTTTGTTTGCGGTAGGGTATTGCTTCTAGTTTGGTATTGCATCATGTCTCGGCAACGTCATGTCCCAGCTAATAACTATTTGAACTATTGTATCGGGTGGCTTCGCGCGGAGGTACATTACTCTGGTGCTTCATGGCCAGCCAGCGTGTTGCGCACTGCAGCAGCTACAGCTGGGTACTTGACGGCAGAAGTGTATGCCTGGGCAGTTTTTACCATGGTGTCATTTTTCACAGCATCGGTGGCTCGCTTCGCTTGTACAACAGGAAAAAATATATACTGTATGCCTACCGATACCACGGTTTCAAGGTCGGGCGGGCAATGTGATGGAAGTAACAACTCTCATTTGGCTCATCTCGCCCAGCCTAGGCTTTGACGCGCGTTCAAGAATACAGCCGAGTGTTCGTCCTGCCACAACAACAGGGCGAGACAGGCCACAGAGCAAGGACATAATCCTCTGCTCGACACGCCTTGCCCCACCCGAAATTTGCCCTTCAAGGCTCGTTTGGGGGCGGGCATTGTTTGCATACGACTGCCGTTCGTCCGCAAGTGTAGCGTAATTTTCGGCTTTCCCCTACCCCTGACGTTAACATCGCGTGTGCTTTTCTCCGCGCATCGGAGAGAGGCGTTCATGGCGTCGATAAGCGGGTGGAAGTAGGCCCCCGGAGGAACTATCTCCCTCTCGCTCGCTTTGTTCTGCAGGGGATCGTCCGCGGGTAGAGCGCGAGGGACAGGCCATCGAGTGTTTTTTCCCCCCTGGACACGGCGGTGTGTCGTTGACCCTGTGGACCACTAGTCTTCGAGAAGGAATCCATGCTGCTACCCAAAGTCGAACCCTGTACCAATTGGACCGGGAAGGGCCATGCAAAGCAACTGACCAAAGCTTCACCATCTAATAGGCGCCGCTAACCGCTCCCCCTCTTGAGCCCTGAGCCACACGCAGGCCGACCAACAGATGCACAGATACCGCAGTCGATAAACACACGTTTGTGATCAGCAGACTGAGACGCCTCCAACCTAAAACTCAACAAGATGTTATCTTGAGTCGTTCTGAATGCGACTACGCAAGCGTACAGTTGATCACTTGTCTCAATGTTCTGACTGCTATGGGGCGCGGGGATTACCAAGATCCTCTCTCTCTCTCTCTCTCTCTCTCTCTCTCTCTCTCACTTTTTCTCCAACCACTGGTGCTTACACTCCGCGCTTGTTTCCCAACAACAGACGCCGACAGGCAGCGACATACGGCCATGTCGGCCTTCGCCAAGCAGCAGCAGCAGCCCATTCCGTCCCCTGAGGAGGCTTTGAGGAAGGAGCTTGTCATGCTTCAGGCACAGAGGGACGCCCTCGAGCTGGAAGCGGACGCCATCGCCAGCGAGCTGAAGTCGCCAGGAGCTAACGGAGAAGCTCCTGTGGGGGTTAAGGGCGCTCTCGTTGACTCCGATGGCTTCCCGCTGGCAGGGTTCGACCTCTTCAACGTTCGAGAGAGGAGGCACCGGTGCGTCAGACTTTACAGTGGCACCTACTCTTTGATTTTGTTCATAGCACAAAGATGCTTCTGCTGTCCGCGATATGGTGCTGGTGTGATGCTCACGCGGTTGTAGGGAGAATGGCCTGTACGTTGTTTGTCTGAATACTGTGGTCAGGGTGGGGGGGGGACGGGACGCGTGTCGCTCGGGCGGTTGCTCTGCATCATCCACGGTCTCCTGGTGACACCCCAAGCTCCTCTGTCTTCTCTCTCGCTTGGCTTGTTTGCTTGCGCTGTCATATCAACGTAGCATGCTTGTCGGCACAGTGGGTATGCAATGCCGTTTCATTAACCTGTGAACCTGTTGTGACGTACATCGCAAGACAGAGCTAGTTTTAGCGAACGAGCGCGTTTTGTCTTGTCTCCAACGTTGTACACGGTTCCGACAACTCACCTCCTCCTTCTCACACTCCATCCAAGGTGTTTTTTCCGGCCTCTCTTCACCGTCATGGTGCACCTCTCTTCAAACATCCCTCATCTTTTCTGTACCCCCACCACGTTTCCTGCAAACACAAGCCTCAACTTCATACGGACGGATCACAAGACCTTCATGCCACACCTCTCTCTCTATTTTTCGTCTTTCACTCCCACCCCTCTCGTTTCCTGCAAACACAAGGTTCAACTGCATCCAGACGGATCACAAAGCCGTGATGTCGAGGATAGAGAAGTCCCTCCACGCCTTGCACGATGCGAGATTGGCGAGGCCAACGCCGTTGCCAGCAGCTTCTTCTGTCACTGCCGCTACGCCACCGACACCATCTTTGGTTGGTGGTGATTCGGCCGCCGCGGCAAGCATGTCGCTGGCGCCCATCGCTAAGGTCAACCAGGTGAAGAGGTCGCAGCAGGGGATAGAGTATGTGTGTTTGCTTTCGAGCCGAGGGGTGCTTCGAATGCCACTCTTCTCTTCGAGTGTATCGCGCAAGTACACAGCGGGTGTTTGGAGGCGCTTTGTGGTGTGCAGAACCTCGATCTTAAGCTTCGATCTATCTATGTGTCTTGTGCAAGATAATGACGGTCACGAGAGGACAACAAGGAAAAGCCGTACGTATTCATGGCGTGCTTCCTGTCGTAGGCAACATGTATTGTTGTTTACATACCACCGTACCTCGGAAGCGTAAGAGCTTTCCCCGCTACACATGGCTCCCCAACCTTCAAGCTCGCACCCTATGGTATCATCTACCCATCCATCCTGCAGTGCCGTTCATGTTGGACTGCTAGTAATACAGTACAACCGACACGAAACACACACACCCGCCGGACATGGTTATCATTCGTATGGAAACTAACACGGTTGTTTGGTGTTCCGCGAACGAAACGAAAAAAAACATGTCGGGGAATATGGGACGCCATGGTATGGAAACTAACACGGCGGTTGGTTTGTTTCCCGCGAATGAAACATTTACGTTTTTTTTTAATGCATACATAAGGTGTCCGAGGGCTCTCCGGCGTCCGCGGCGGGGCTGGCGGTAGGCGATCTCGTGCTGCGGTTTGGCCGTGTGGACATCTCTCACCCCAAGGGCCTTGGTGGGGTGGTAGACGTCGTGCGAGAGAAGGAGGGGCAGGAGGTGCCCGTCACGGTGCTGAGGACGACGAGTGCTAGTGGGGGGGGGGGCTCCGTGGGGACGGGAGGGGGGGTGAGGGAGTTGACGCTTGTGCCGAAGACGTGGAGCGGGAGGGGTCTCCTCGGGGTTCACTTGCTTCCTCCATGATGCAAGCATGATGCCAACATGTTGGTCTTCTCGGCAGCAGTGGAAGTTGCGGCTACTCGTACTTCAGAAGCACGCTTTAGCCTAGCGGGCATCTTTTGTGTAGACTATGTATGTTGTTTCTTGTGTCGCCCACCCTTTGTGCCACGGATGTCCGAGACTATTCCGTTCGGTAAAAAATGTCCAGTGGGAGAGGTGGTAAAGCTGTGTGTCGTCTCCGTTGTCCGAAAAGGAACACCTGCTGCTGCATGTTTGGGTTCTACTTTCTTCTTATGGTTTGTCTTTGTTCTCGCCGTGTACCTCTCTCGGGGGTATCTACATGTAAATAATTGGCGTCACAACATGACCACGGGCATGGCTTCCTCGTCAGGTGGAAGGTACGAAGGTACTGCACTGAGAAGAGGTCGGAACGGCTTTTATGCCAAAGACAACAACAGTAGTCACAGCAAGTAGGAAGGTTTGTGTTGTCAGTGAAGGGAGACAAATGCGCACGTATGCACGAAGAGGTCGGAACGGCTTTTTTGCCAGGACAACAACAGTAAGTAGGAAGGTTTGTGTCGTCAGTGAAGGGAGACAAATGCGCACGTATGCACAGGCAATGGCTTGTCGAAGATCACCACACACAGCAGTGTGACACTCTTTTTGTTGGGGTGGTAGCACTCCTATCCAGGAGCGTTCAACAGAGCGGTGGGACATTTGGGAAGGGCTGGGGAGAGAGAAGAGGAAGGCTAGTGACAAAAGGGGCTACATCGCTGTAGACTAGAGCTGTGGAGTGGCAGCCCATCGCCCTCGTGATGCTCGATTTACTTACTTCTTCTCTTCAAGCGTTTCAAACCCAGTCAAAGGGAGAGGCGGCTACATAACCCCCGCGGGCGAGGTAGCTGCTCTCCCTCCTTCCGTGGGCTGCCAACCACACGAACAGGAGTATCCATTTTTCCAACACGGAAATACATTTGCATTGGGTGCGCGTTCAACCGCCAAAAATACACCACGTATCTTTGGCCTAAAATCCCGCAAGTTTAACCTGTTGGTCATCGTCCTTTTTTGTCTCTATTATGCATACATGCAGCACGCCAAAGAATCCCCCCGTCTGGCTAAAATAGCGTGTACACAGCCCGGCAACAATAAAGGTAAGAGAAGACAACGATTCCTGCATTCCAACCCGTGGCCTGTAACCCAGTGGTAGAAAATATGGCTAGTTCGCGGGAAGAGACACGACTTGAACGAAAACGATAATACGAGGACAACAATCGACACAGCAGCACATACATGCAGACAAAGAGGAGACAGCTTACCATGCCGTTACCAACCACCACCACATCGATAAAGTGCAAAGCACATGTTTTGTCCAACAGCGCCACAATACACTGTCAGTACCTTATTCTATTCCAAAGAACGGGGGCGTGTTGTATACAGCCTAGTAACGGACTCGATTCCATCAATCTGCGGATGATAACACGTAACCTCCACGCCCCCCCCCCCCGCACCAACATTTCCTACATTACACATTACACATATGTATTTTTCAGACTACGCCAAATCCAAGCAAGTATTAATTAAGACTACGTCGGTACACACGACCGCTGCAAAAGGCTAAGGCTGCTCATCCCAAGCCCGGTACCATCAAGGACAAGCGCCAAGACAAATCATCCCTTCCCATAATGTACCACCCATATACCATAGTAGACAACGACGTCTAAATCTTACCTTTCCATCCCATCCCATTCCTAAAGCACGAACAAGACAAATGCGTTTTCACTAGTACATCAATTCAGATTATTCGGACGCTGTTTGGCGAGGGACTCATGTACAAGGGGGGGGTCTTTTGTCCATCTGCCTGTTTTCATGGGCGAAGACAAGACGATAGGAAGGAGGCCAGCAGCCCTGTTGCCGCCGGATGTTGGGTAACCATCCGAGATGGCAGCAGGGTCGGCAACAAAACTTGAGCCTCTACCCTGTTCTTTTTGCGAAAGGTATGTGTCCTACGCCAATAACTCGACGCTGTGCACGAAGGACCCGCGAGCTTTCGCGCTGCAGGAGGAGCTCGCCCCATCCTAAAAGAATAGGAGACGCAACAGCAAAACGCCTAGGGGGAGAAAGACAAACACACTAAATAGCAATAGTAGCGGGATGGGATGTGTTGGGGGCCATGTCTCTGTACTTGAAGAAAAAAAAAAAAATAGCACAAGGAGAGGTCAACACAAAAAAGTCTACTGGTACCATATGCCACAAAAATTCACACTGACACCACACACACGTACAACAGCAGCAAACACCGTGGGGGGCTGGCTGTCTACAGCTGTCCGCTACGGCAATGCGCCGTGCACCACACGAAATAAATCACCAACCACACCTGGTGCCACTTGAGACACACGTAGAAAGGTGGAACCTGGAATCCCCCTTTATCCCTCCGATCGTGCTGTAGGAGCCCAGGCCCCACCTCTCTCGCACACCAAGCACCAAGCACTTCATCTGAAGCTTTCAGCGACCTTGACCACCTCGATCAAGCCCAAGCACTAGCACTTGGAGGCCGCTCGCTCTCGTTACGGAGGATTAAAACAAAAAAATGCCTTTGGGAGAAGCAGGAAGAACATGGCGGTGTGACGACTCTGGCGATGACACCATGTAATAATAGCCACCGGTCAGCACACGGGCTTGTACCGTGTTGGCTGCTCCTCCGTCGTCCCTTCCTAGAGAGAGAGGTCGGCCATCACGGCAACAACGCCCGCGGCTTGCCTCCGTCTTTCTAAACTCGAGGTCAGGTGAGCCCGAACAAACACACTCCACCTTGGCGCCGACAGGTCGGGTCGGCTTAGCCCGACCTTCTTCCCCAAATACTATACCCTCAAAACTCAGCTGGGGTGGTCGTGGGTCTAGGTCAAACCCTCCCCTCCTTCTCTAACTTTTACGTCCTCTTCTCGCCTCCAACACCAGCAGGCGTCGACACAAACACTCCGTCAGGGCTAGCCACCGCTTCGTCGCCGGAGCTACTACCTGTGACCTTGTCCTGGCGCAGCGGGCTGCGGCTGTGTCTGCTGTGTTTCCTCGGGCAGAGGGGCGGCGAAAAGGTCTCCGCCCAGGCCCCCCCGGTCGGGCTTGTTGACCTTCCGCTTATAGGTGTACCCAATGAAGTCGTTGTCGCGGTCTCGTCGCTGTGCTACTCGAGCGGCCTTCTCCCACCGCACCTGTGGCGTGATCGCGTCATTGAAATGTGTCCAAAAGCAAATAGTTAATAGGACCACAACGAGGGGAACCCGAATTATCGGTGGGTGGTATCGACAGCAGCGCCATCGGTGGGCGGAAAGTAGCCGGAGGGCATGCGGAGGTATTGGCATGTGTTGTAACAGCTCCAACAACAGCAGCAAGGCATTGGCGCAGGTGCATTTGCTGGACGTAAGTGTCGAGAGGAGGAGAAAAACACAGGTACCACGGTACAGCACAAGACAGCAGCGCAAGCGATGAACCCAATGACATCGCTAGAGGCGACAACTGTGAGCAGAGTTTCCTACGAAAGGAACATGTCCATCGCCATTGCCATACGTACACTGCTGTCGCGCATTGCCAAAAGGTATGCATAGATAGATTCATGGGATTGCTTCGATTTCTCTTCACACACTGCCGAACCAAATATAATCGTTTGCCTCGGAATCACAACAGCCTGAAGCACAGCAGTGGGATCCTCCGTCCGTCGGCCGCAATGATTCGACGCAGAGGGGGAAAAAAGCAAGAAGGTACACAACTCCAACTCAAAGGTTGAGTGTACCAATACCAGGTTGGCCAACACGTTACGTATTTGTCTTGTACCGCTCTGTTCGGAAATACAGGGGTCATTCGGCTATCGACGTTCGTACCCAAATGGTCCTTATATTATGAAACAGAGCAGTATGAAGCATCCTCTGCTGTGCTGTACGCCTTAGTTTCTTGAATGGGCACGTACCTCGCCGTTGTCGCTGAACTTGTCGAAGTTGGACGTAACGAGCTCCACCGCGGCCGGCTGTCTGGCGTCTCCAGGCTCAAGCTTGGATAGTTGAGCCAACACATCCTTGGAGTGAAGTGACAGAAACCAAGACAAGCAAGAGACCAGAGGCAGTGAGCAACGCAGCAGTCAGTCGATCGGTCAGGTGTAAATTCGATGCAGTCTTGAGTCAGGTTCGGGCGGTTGTCCCAATGCGTCCTGCAAAGGTCAGGAGGGGCGAAAAAAGCGCCAGGAAATGGTATAATCGACCAACGCAAGCAGGAGCGTACCCACGATCCAGGACGTTTCATTCAAACACATGACCATCAAAGGAAAAAAGTGCGATACTTGTTGTAAAGCGGTAAAGTTGCTGGCAATGCGTTCATCCGAAAAATCAGGAAAGGGCTGCATTGCGAATATCGTCAACATCATGCCACCAGCTTTTGAGACATGATTTTCTTTTTATTATCACATCAAATCAGCGCTCGAAACATTTCTGCCGGGCTAAAAATGTAGCTCAATCCGTGGGCACACAGAATGCATACGAAAAATAGCGGGGCATCTATCGTATGCATACATAGCGTGGCCCTCACCTTTACGCGCGCAGCGCCATCCGTTACGTAAGGGGCGCGCATCTCCCGGATCCTCTCCCACGGCACGCCGGCCAACCACGTGGACGCCATCACCTCTCCAACGCCGTTCTTGCCCAGTCGGTCTGGGGCCGCGCTGATGAGAGACGTCAAAAATCTGACGAGCAACAAGGACGACAAGGGGGGCAACAACAACAACAAAAAACACTCAACACCCACCGTGCTACAGATGTGGAGGACAAGCGTTGTAACCATTGTTGCACATCATATACACAAGTAGGGAGTGTCTTGCTGATGGTCGAACAACAAGAAACCCGACTATGGATACGACACTTTCAACGCCACGTGCGGAGATGGGGAGTGAGGAGTCTTCGGTCCTCCCTTCCCTCTCCCCTCCCATGTCTCCGATGTCCCTGTCTCTCTTCTGAGACATCTCCTTGCCGAACCCCAAGGGCACCGCCAGCCCTCGGTATTTTATACTTCGTGGGTAAACATTACACCGACCTGGGTCTATTTCCAACGGGCAAGCCTCTGTCCTTACTGGCGTCGACGAAGAGATGAGAGATGACAGACAACATATCAAATACAACTGAAAACCCGATTCCCGTTTCTCGAACGAAATCTCGTTTGGTTAAGACAGGCGCATTTTAGAAACTGGGCTCAATAGTTTGTAGGGACACTTGTGACATGTACGGGCGTTATATATCATAGGAAGAGGTGAGAAAACAGATCTACACCCCCTAGAGATTGGGAACATTTGTTTTCACAAGCGTTCGTTTCGAGAACCGTTCTCAAGGAACTGTCACGCACTCCACTATATTCCCTTGTTCCGACAGGAATCGGAGGAACAGGAGTGATTTAGGAGGAGTACGACCGCTTGGCACAAAAGGGATCAAATGGGCCGTTTTTCAGTAAATACTCACGAAGCAGCATTGCATAGTAGCGTGCGTGACGTGACGCTCGACACATATCCAAAACAAAGCGGCAGCGAGTGTGATGTTCGGCACAATTTGAACACATACATGTTTGATTTCGCCCTCCCTGCTGTCCAATACTGTCTCGTCTAGCAGTGTTGCCCTTTCTCGCATACGACCTGGTTGGTTGGCCTCCTCTCCACTGAGGAGCTATATATGCATCACATCAAGATCCTGCGTTCACAAAGGGATTGCAATTTGATTGCGCCGCACGCCTGTGATTTCATGGCGAGACGACAGAGATGTAAAAACTAAGCCCGCAATTCGTACGTTCAAGATGCGGCTGAGACAACCTGAAGACAACGACCAGTGCTGCGTGAAGCCACTTCCAAAAAAAGCGGCACAGCAAACACAGTTTTCCGTCATGCAGAGGGCGGACAAAAGTTATTACGCTGGAACACACCGGAATGGACATCACGATCAAAAAGATTTCACAGCACTAGTACAAAAAATGGTGGTCTTTCACGACCTCGCCTACTCGGAGTATGTAGATACTAATAGATGTCCACGAAACGGTGAGGGGCGGTCTTGACAAAAAAAACAACAGAAACCACACCCTTCGCCAGGAAAACAAACTTGGCCTTTCGAGTAGGGGGTACTGTACAGGTTGGGGGTTGGGGTTACGAAACCCCCCTCTCTATTTCATAGATAAACAAAAAACCCTCGCAAAGGCGTTAAAGAAAGGCAAACCGGTAACTCGTAACTCACCGCATGCACGGCTCCGACACGCTGATCGCCGTCTCCTCCGGTATCTCGAGGAAACGCGGCCAGTTGAGAATCTTCCGGCACGTGGTCACGGGATCCTCCGCGTAGAAGGGCGTGTACCCCACCAGGCACTCGAACATGATCACGCCCAGGGACCACCAGTCGCACTCCTTGCCATAGCCCTTCTGCTGCAGGACCTGAGGACAAGGGAGAGAGGAGGGAACCCCGTAAATCATTCTCGGCACCGCAACAACAACGACGTACTTCAAGTGCTTGTAGGATGTTGCTGCTTGTCTCGGTCCAAAAACAAGGAATATTCTTTTTACGGTTCCTTCCAAGTACCACATCCAACATACTCTCTCTCATCCAAAGAAGCTGTCATCGTAGAACACATGCACGCGGGTGGAACCCTCGTTTCATGTCCACGTAGATAGGTCTTCTGAGGTTTACCTTCTAAGCTGTGCCCCTTCCAACAGCAGAACGCGCACAGCACTATGCACGCCTTTCTATCGCTACAGCAGTAGGTAGGTATGCTACTTAGGCGTTCATCTTCTTCTCGCTATCGTCTACCTGACAGCTGACTGCCGGTCGGCGCCGATGGGAACGAAACCAATCTACCCTTGCCACCCATCTTGTGACACCAAACACACCTCGGGAGCGATGTAGTCCGGCGTTCCTACGGTGGAGTACACAAGGGTGCGATCACGGTGACCCGGGGTAGCACTTGAAGACCGCCCTGGGTCTCCTCCTCCTCCCCCACCCCCCCCACCCCCCCCGCCCTCAGCGCCGCCTGCCTGCGCTGCCCCCGCCTGCCCAGCAATCGGGGGCTGACAGACCTCCATCCCCCCCATCAGGTCATCCTCAGGGACGTCGGGCAGCAAGTTCAGCTGTTGAGATCGTTGGGGAGGGGAGGTGTAGGTGTCGCACAAGAAGCAGCAGGAAAAACGGCAACAAAGAGACGGTTATGAATCACTGATGAGACTTCTCGTGTAAAATGGCGGAAGAGATTTATTGCGGTGCGCGATTAAACGCACACCAAAAATCTCTGGGTGCATGTGGTGGGGTCATCTTTGCGGTAGAGTAGCTTGGGACGAAACTGCTTACCACCTTAACATTCGTCGAAAACATTCAAGTCACACGTACAACCCTGCATAGAGCCCGCTGCACGTCGATAATTTTCCAACAATATTACTCGGACGTATGCATATGCATTGCATTTGTGACACAATTTCACCTCCATCAATATCTCCCAAGTATTTCGCACCACAAGACAAAAATCAATATCAATCTCTGCACCTGCTCCGGCTGCATCTTCGTGCACAGCCCCAAGTCTGTGAGCTTGACGTGGCCGTCCCAGTCAAGCAAGATGTTGTCAGGCTTGAGATCGCGGTGAATGTACCCCAGCTCGTGCACCTGAACCAGGACAAAAACGTACGTCGTATCGCATGCCAAAATGTCGCGACTCCAAGGCCGGAGGACAACGCCATAAAATACACAAGCAGTCAGCGGTAGGCACCCACGATAGCTGCTACTGCCTACCAGAATTGACACAAGAGAAAAGAAAAGTCACAAGTCACAGGGTGAAGGAACATGGCCTCACAAAAGACATGGACGGATTAAGCCGAACAAGCTCATGGCCACACAAGGGTCATGGACAAAATAAGCCAAACAGGCGGCTGAAAAAAAAATACGCCGCACATATGAACACACACACACAACAAAGCGGCATCCTGCAGGAGAAGGAGATATCAACACAAGACAAATCACGGACTGGACTGCTGTCCATATCGCACCCTCGCGATGGCCATGGCAGTTTCCGCCATGTAGACCCTGGTGGCATCCTCTCCGAAGGTGTCGTACTTCATCAAGAGCCCCATCAAGTCGCCCCCAGGCAAAAACTCCATCACCATGTACAGGTTAACGTCATCCTGACCACGGTTACCACCACCACCACCACCACCACCACCACCACCACCACCAGGCAGAGCACGAAAAACAACGAGGGGAAACAGGAACGTGCAAGTGCAAAGAATTAGAGTTGGGATACAGCAGTGCACTACACCATACCCAAGGAGCAGTGTCAACGCTGTTCAGGAGGTCGGTGCCAAACCAGTTCATTCTTTCTTGAACCCGCATTTCCTGTGACCTGGATAGGGTAACCAATGCAATAATGCCGAGACTAACTTCCCTCCCTAGACATACGAAAACACAAGAGCTTGAAAAAAAGGCTTATTGAGCCCGCCCTGAGGCTACCGTTGTGTCTTGATCTCTGCCTCGGCATACAAGAAGGGCTACGCGTAGGCTCAACAGGCCGTGTCTTCAGGCCAAGTATCTCAAACTCGCAAAAATCGATTGGCAGAGTCCCGGCAGGACACGCCTCATGCAACGAGAAACCGTACTCGAGGAAATGCAACATCCACCCATTGCAATAGCTTTATAACTACAACAACAGCAATAGCAAGAGCAACAGACGTTCACAACAGCGGCAGCAGCAGCAGCAGCAGCAGGACGAACAACAACGACTACAGCAACACCCACCTCTGTACGACGCGAAACAAGAACAAAAAAAAGACAGAAGCGTTGCACGACGGTACTGCACACTGTACCTGAAAGCTGTACATGAGCTTGACAATCCATGGGTCATCCGCTTCGGCCATAACATCTCGTTCCGCCTTAACGTGCGTTACTTGGTTCTTGAGGATCATGTGCTCCTTCAGCATGCTCTTCATCGCGTAAACCTGAGTGGGGAGGGATAGGACACAAGCATCTCTAAATAGTATCAAGTTGGTTGCGGTTAAAAATTCCTGTGGTGTCGCACATACGGTGAATATTGGATATTCTGCGTACTTTGGTCTCCTCGTTGAGCTGTGCGTATATCTTGGGTAGTTAGCTCGTGTGGACCACGGCAGGCGACCGCGTCCATTGTACATGCTAGAAGGTTGTACAGAGCAGAGACAACAACAAAAACAGCAACACTTGACACGACTACTTCAAAGCAGAAGCACTTCGGGTACAGCTCTGCCTGCTGTTATGCTGAAAGCAATGAAGGCAAGGTTTAGCACAGCAGCATTCGTCTACCCTGCCCCCAGGGGCAGAAGAAAAGTGCGAGACTTCTGCTGAACAACCTTCGCAGCGAACGTACGTCAGATATGCGTTTAACGTTCCTTTTTTTGATCCTGCACGGGGATACAGCAGCGCCAAGCGACCAGACGAAAGCATGAAAACGAAAACAAAGGCAAGCAACAAGAAACTGGACATCATCCTACCCCCCCCCCCCCCCCCCAGTCACGACCCGCGATACACTCCCGGGTCTCCCCACTTGGGGTAGCACGCCTGCCTGTCCACTCAAAACTCAACGTCCCCACCGTCTCAGGCATTTCGACGGTCTGCGGTCAAGTACTACAAATGAGTGCATCTTGATCTTCCCTCTGGGGGGGTCGGCAGAAGAGATGTCAAGGTACTGCCGCCGACGGTGCCTCGTGACTACTCACCTCGCCGGTGTCTCGCTTTCGGACCAGTCGGACTTCTCCGAACGCGCCGCGACCGATCATCGCCAACGCCTCGAAGTCGGCCTTGGTCAGCCGCTTCCGCCCCTCACGGATGTTAGTAAGACACTGCGTCATTGCACACGCACACGCGCGCGTTCAATTGATTTTGGTTACAACGTTAAATGTTCACGACAAAAGGTTGGGACACTGCTGCTGCACGGGAAAAAATTGCCATTTGGATACAGCTGGTCTCTGATAGCGTCAGATGTGCATATCAATAGAGTTACTTAAAACTGCATGAAACCAGTGGAAGAGCCCGAAAAGTGGATGAATCGAGTTTTATATCGGAGGCGACTTTTGGGCAAAAATGCATGAATCGTGAGCAAAAATATGTTTGGGGCTCCAGAGCTCCAAGTATATATTTGTGTTCCGAGACGAACAGACTGCTCTCTCTATCTCCCTCTCTCCCTCCTCTCCTCTCTCCTCGCTTTTGCAGCAAACATCACCGCCGTCACAACAGCAAAGACACAGCACACAGTCATAACACAGTCATAACAACGCCGCCACCACGGCCAGCCCCCAACCAAGCTTTCGGGCACTGCCCGAACGATTTTTTGTTGTGCTACATGCGTATCAACGCGTACGTGAGGTTGCTGCATGCTGCTACACCCTCTCTTTTCCCCTCTGCCTTCCTCTCTCGTCGTGCTCCTTTTTTTTTCTCGCTTTTTCTCTGGTGCCGCCATCGCACGCACAAGCACAGACGAACAAACGAACAGACACAGTTCCACAAGGCTCGCCGCATAGCTTATAGGCTGCCCCGTTATTTTTTGGGTGGGAGGGCGGCCCTTCCTAGTCGGCATGGCGGGGAGGCTGGAGGTTGTTGTTGCCGTTGATGCACAGGGTGTGCGTATATGCCTGTCTGCCTGTCTTTTTTAACTGTCTGCCTGTCTTTTCTAACCCCTCTCTCGTTTTCTCTTTGGCACAAAAAAAAGAGAAGAAGGATCAACGGTTTGATATCAGCTAGCGTGGGATGGGGGCGTTCTTGGCAGAGACGAACGCGCCTTGTCCGTTTTTCGTTTACTACGTTAGGGTGTGCATATTCGTATGACCTTGAAAAAAGTCACTAACTCTAATTTCGCATGCTGCTTGTTTCCGGTTGATCAAATTTGGCTGCACCACAACGGCAGCCCACCTGCCCAAACACCAGCTGTCCGAGGATGTATTGGCGCAGCCTAACAGTCCTGTGTTTTTATCCTGTGAAGATCTATTCTCGAGTTTTATATCACGGGAGTTTTTCAGCAAAAATGTACAAAGCAGCGAAAGGCCCAAAAAAGTCCTTCCGGTCCATGAATCGAGTTTTAAATAACTCTAATACAATAATCAAGAGGATACGGCGCTTGAAAAATAAGACTCCTGCGTATAGGATATTGTACTGTGGCTCTGAGAACTGAGAACCAGTCTCGGGTGCGATTTGCGATGCTCGTGTCGGCATCTCCGCACAGATTTTATTTTTTACCGTATCCATGGATTAGCTTGTGACGAAGTAAATTCGTTTCTTGCTTCGAACAAAACAGAAGACAGAAGATGACGACAGACGTGAGAGGTAGAGAAGAGCCACTTATCGGAGCCGACAATTTTCTAAAGATGTACAGTATCCAAGGTATGCACACATGGTGAGATTTATCTTGAACGAGCAGGCCAACGGCACATCATTACGAAGCCAGTCCCATACTCAACAACCCGATGAGAGTTTGTCGCGTAAATGGTATGAAGGAGTGGTGTTGCAAGAACAGCAAGGGGTTTCCAGGCCAGCTGCACAGACTTCCTCTGCATGTGCGGCTATACCTCTCTCTCACAGCGCGCCGCAACATGTACATTCATCCCCAGCTCCAAACGACCTTCGACACGACTCATAATAATGGCGCCAACGGCGAGGCGTGATTCATCAACATTCCAAAGCCTCAACCCAAGGCGGTGTCATCCCGTACATGTACAGTAGTATCTTGGTTCCACTTCGGCGAGTCAGAGTTAACAATATGGTACGTCGTATAAAACTCAAAAGCCAGGCTTGGCGCTAGGTTGGTGTTGACGGGGGAAACTCTAGGTTGTTACTGCTGGGATAGGGGCTAGATTGGGGTTGATGGGATAAATCTAGGTTGATATTGCCTGGATAGGTGCTAGGTTGGTCCTGACGTGGCCAGGTGCTAGGTTGGTGGGCCTTGGAGTAGGGCTAGGTCGCTCATGGGAGGTAAAACGGGTTCTTGCAGGTCTGCATAGGCAAGGACTGCCAAGTTGTGGGTACATGGCTTCTGTGCGTACCCATGGGTGCATCGAATATTTTTCCGTTTCGTGGTCATGGAGGCAGGCAAAGAAAATGGATCTCTACGGGACGGTACGGTCGTGGAAGGCGGCTAGAAAAGAAGAAGCTCATACATACGTGGCTGGCATAGTCGGCGGGACAGACATCATAACAATATCCATCACTAAAATGCACTCTCCGGCTTCGTACGGCAGTTTGCAAACGGGGTGAGACGATACTGTGCAAGAATCTTCAGGTGATTCGATTTGTGCAGGCAGCTTTCTATGATCGTATAATGATCCATACTCCCAGGGGTGAGACTGCTATTTACTATTTACGAAGTATTTGTTTGGTTGTGATTCAGGTCCCCACTTCAAAATATAACGGGCTCATGTCGCCCCTCCTTGTATTAGTAGTAAAGTCAGTCTCAATGTCTCAATCCTGCTCTTGGACTTGCCGGATGACAGCAGGTACGGTAGTTTATCGTCTACGCTCTTGGGGTCCAAGGCTGATTGTGTGACGTAAATATACTGCCGTCAATGGCCTTGTTGAGATTCGAGTCAGTCACTCTCTGGGAGGCTCCTTCTCTTTTGTGCTTTAGGTTGGGATCACGGAAATCCGCTTCTTATTATAGTCTTCAAGAGGAGAAAGGGCTACAAAAGTGCTAAGGGCACACACAAAGTCATGCACGTAACTGCTGTAACGTTCGAGCGAGATGGAACATCGGAACGGTTTTCATGTCAAGACAGCAGCAGCAACAACGCAACCACAGGACTAGACTACTGCGGTGTAGCACACCGGTTACACCCAAGGAACGTGCGGCCGTCTTTTCAAGGCTGTGTCCGAGGCAAGATGCAGCTATTGCAGCTAATAGCTACCATCCTGTTGCTCAAGAGCGGCTTCGCGGCGAAACGTCGGACATTGACGGGGTATCATTCGATCGGTCGTGATGGAGTGGCACTTTGTGAAATTGTTGAAGATAGGAAGGACTGCCTCCGGGGTATATACCAGCCAAAGCCCGCCGCACGCTCACTTGCAGCGAAACGGTCGGGGCTGCTGTATCTAACTCCTCCGCGAACACTTGGCGCCCCCCCTAATGTTGTGCAGTAGACTAAAATTAAACAGCCGTGCATTTTTTGTTGTCAAATAAATGTCAAACGCCGCATGCCGGCGGCGGCCCCGTCTTCGGACCACATTTGGCATCCAGATCACTTACATAAATAACAACGGTCTTTCGGTCTAACGATCGGCTCGCTGCTTGTACATACATACCCAGAGTCGGCGAGAGGGTATGTATAATACCCTTTTTACGAGCACACCTTATGAATGCCGAGGGAGAATTGTTTCATGCCAGGAGGCGACAGGGAAGAGCCTGCGACCCCCCGCCATGGGGCCCTCTCACCTCCTGCCACACGCGCTGGCGGTACTGGTCCCTCTCCGACTCTGCGATGCCCATCTGGTCCATTCTTGCGTTCAGGATCTGAATTTTCTGTTGGCTCTCCTCTCTGTCTTGCGACTCCTGGTTCAAGTTCTTGTACTTGGCCTCCAGGATGGCGCGGGCCACGGACGCCCTGTGTATCTGGCTCTGCGACAGGGGCTACGAGCCACGGGGGGAGGGATAGGACGTCAGACCGGAGAGCCTGCACATGAGGGCCGAGGTAGCCACAGGTGGCACCGCCACAAATCCATCCGTAGTATCAGGGGATCGCATTTGGCATTTACGAACGAACTCTGTCCTGGGTATACTTGAGTGCATTTTTATCTGCACGCGTGATAGCGGCGCTCCCTACCAACTGCCCAAACGAGCAGCACCTTAGTTTCCCTCGCTGACGGAGATGCCGACCCAAAAGCCCCGCCGCTGGCCCCGCCGGCGCCTGCTGCGCCAACCCCTAGCGCATTGCTGCGGGGCGTAATTGCCGGAATTTGCACGTTCAAAACAGAACCATCGCTTGTGTGACCCGCTAGCCCCGCCCCAGTAGCAGCCTCCGGACTGCTGTCGCCGTTGTCTCCTTGGGGAGGTCGGAAGTCTCCCATGGACACGTCATCGCCGAAGCTCGCCATGTAGAGGAGAGCTCGGAACCAGCGGGGAAGCGGGGGGGGGGGATGTTTTTACCTTGACTCGCTCTCAGCTCTGAACAGCAAGGCAGACGGAACAAGTCTCACATACGTCCCACACAGCCATCTCCCCGTCCGTCCCCCCACAGCAACGCATACCCCGTCATTTTCGCATCCATTGAACTCCATTCCACGGAGCCCCCGGTCCCGACTCTGCTGTTTGCTCCGCAGTCCTCCTGACTCTGTGTGCTGCATGTTGTGAGCACGTTCTCTCTTTGCACTTTCCTCTGTCCAATTGAACCGATGGCGGAAGCATCTGAGCTGAAGGATGAGCTGACCGTGCTTGGTCAGCACATGCATAGGTTTTTCGTAGCAGACCGGAGACCATGGGCAGAGGTAAGTGGATTGGCATTGAATTGTCCGCGTCTGAATTGTTGACTGCTGTCCGTTCTGGAACAAACACGGGTGGGTGGGTTCGAGGGAGCAGAGCGACAAGAAAAAAAAGAAACCGATTCTATGCATGTCTACGTTGAGACAGAGGCCGAGGCAAAACTGGAGAGCAGACCAGAGCAACAAATATCGGCCACGCCCTCCCTCTAGCTGTCATCTTGTCTGCTTTTGTGGTGCAGTCTTGTTTGCGATGGTGTCGACGTTCCCCGCAGATCGCGAGCGATTTTTCGTTTTGAAACTGGCGCTACAACATAGAGGCGACCATTATAGGCTGCGTGACCAATTGGCGGTGACCGTTTGTTGGTCACGCACACGATGACCTGAGACCTATTGATTTTTCCACACACACCAGGTGGTTGCTTTAACGTCTGCCGGAGTTTTCCCCCCGTTCTTGCTCTCTGGTCGTTGATCGTGTGTCTGTTTTTTTTTTATTTCAAGCAAGGTACACTACGGCTGTAGGTAGACAGACTACTATTCTACAATGGTACTCCGACCATTACATAGTGGTGGGTGAGTGGACTATGTTTTCTCCGTCGGGCAACCCACACCCCACACCCCGCTTCCCATGTCTTCTCGCTTTCTCCCTGCTTGTGCTTTGCCACTTTGCCACGCCCCCCTCGCCAAACAGTTTTTCGGGCCGGTTGAGCAGCCAAAATGGACCCAGGCAGAAGTAAAGAAGGTAAGAGGGTGGGGTGAGCGTTACAAGGACCTACATACTTGTTGTTTGTTGTTTCTCGAGGAGTAGTTGTGCGGCGGCGGAATCTCGTCGCGAGTCAGCAGCAACCTTAGGGCTCGATTGCAGATGCTACGCTCGTACGCTCTCTTTCTGCCTCTTATAAACTGGAAAATTTTAGCGAAAGTGTTGTACATCTTCCGCACAACCAGCAGGGCCTGGCACAGGGAGTTGCAGAAGCAATATCATCATCAAGATAGAAGCGAGTCAGTCATTCAAACCAACAAAATTGCCAGACACTTGCATTACCCAATCGGAAATTGCCACGATTTACCGATGCCGAATGAAGAATTGTGCATGAGATATGAAATTAATTGATACGATTATTAGCCCCGCTTACCTCAGACTTAGCATGACCTTTTCTTCTAGTAGTTGCACACCTGGTCCTGGGTTTTGTGCCTCAGGAAAAAAAAAACTGAAACAAGCGCCATGTGCTCTCGTTTTGTTTTGCCTTAGTCGTCGGTGGGTCGATTTCCGTTTTTTCTGCTGCCTGTGGGAAACAAGGGTATCAGTCGTGAATGTAATTCTCTCTCTCAGATGTTGATGCACGAGTCCCGGGCTAGATTGGGATAACTAGTCTACGGCAGTTGCCACCGCGTGGGTGAACCAGTCTCCAGCATAATCGACGTACAATCGAGTATAGTATGCTCTCCCTCTCTTTCCCACACAAAGCACATGCTCTTTAGACTACGTTTGGTCCTAGAAGCGTGGTCATACTGTTGATTTGCCTGGCCGCCTTGTTGTGTCTTGGCTATTTGCCGTTCTTATGGTAACTACGACCAGGCCAAAGTTTCAGCATAGCAAGTATTCTGTACCCTTTGCAACCCGTGGAGTAATAGTCATTTCTCTGACACATGAACGCGAGTTGCGCACGTGGTTCACATGGATCGCCCCCCCCCCCCCCCAAAAATTTGCTAGCCCCCTGTTACTGGCCTTGAAGGGTGGGGGGCCCAATCTGAAGGTATCCCTCCAGAAC